CTTCCGCGTCATGGCACCGTAGCGGGGGAAGACGAGCTCGCTCTAGGAACTGGGCAATCGAGAATGGGCGATTCCAGCAGGGGGGCAGAACATTCCCCTGCGACGAGGCGAACAATCGTGGCATTGCCCTGCACATGTTCTTCCAGACTACGCAGTGCGCGTTGCCAAACATGATTCATGGCGCGGAACGAAGTGCGCCAGCTGCTGGCCTACCCAAGCAGAGTGACGGATGGGGGAGCTATGGCAACCAGCGACGGGAAGGCATTCAGATCAGCAAGACTGAGACTGTTCGGCGGGAGCCTCAGCAACTTGCGAAGCGCCTGCTGCTCAAGCTTACGCACCGTGGCAGGGATGGAGAAGAGCTGCGCAAAATACGAGAGAGAAGAGAGAGCAGCGGCGTTGTACAGGATAGCAATGACACTCGGCGCAGCCCCTGAAAGATAGGAAAACCAACGTCCTCGACCACCACTTCTCTGCAGCGCTTGCCCATATACTCCCTGGTGTGGCAGCGGGTCCCACCTCTACACCTAGGTATGTAGTGTGGCCCGATATCTGAAAGTTCTGCCAATGCGGAATCCAGCAACGGAGTTCGTTTCGGACCTGGGTTTGGACCTCGGCTGCGCATTCGGTTCACAGCGGGGCCAACGCACATGTCGCCGTCTGAAGCTTGCGAAAAGCAAAACGTTCAACGTCCAGGAAATGTTGCGAGACCCCATGCCAAGTCCCGAAGGCGCGGTTTAACCGCTCCAAAGTCGTCCGCACACCCGCCCAGGGCGCCTTTGTGATGCCTCGCCTTCGGGAGCTGCGTGGCGGCATATAAACGTGGTAGGATTGGGCCCATCCCAAGGGCTCACAGGGATCCAGATAATTGGCATCTTCGTAGCACTCCTGAGCAATGATGAAACAGGATAGACAACCTGGTCTTGGATCTTGGCAAAACCTCTGTGAAGAAAACACAACGCTTGCATGAAATTCAGAATCCCTGTCGGAAGTCCTACTCCACCCAGAACCGCGAGTAACCACTGATGCCCCAGAGACGGGAACGCCGCCTCAGCGTCAAAAGCGGCAAAGAAGGGGAGGTCCGTCTCGGCCTCAGGGGCGACGCTGGCCTTGCGTGCCTGGGAGTCGAGGGTGGTGATGTTAGACAGGAAGTTGCGTCCTGGAATGAAACCCTGTCGGCCCCCATGAGTGCGCTCTTGATCAACCTCGCGCATTCTAAAACTAGTAGCTGAAGCCGTGATCTTGGCGTCGGTATTCCGGAGACTAAAGGGGCTTGACTTGCCCAGGGCTTTTCGCGCAACCCCGGGCATTTTCCAATTCAGAACCTTCTGGGAAGGAAGACGGAGAGGCGATCATTGAGCTCCAGGGGCACGGGGCGCCCACCGTATAGGTGAGCCATGGGGCGATGTAGGACCGTTAGTTGTTCGGGTCGGGCTTTCCACGCTGCGAGCGCTGATCGGGGCCAGGGGTAGAGCGCCTAGCATGAAGAAGAGATCGACGTGGCCCTGTTTCAGTTGGAAGTCCAGGCAGGATGCAGAGGGGCTTGTGGGACTATTTTGGCACCGAATATGGGTTTCTGGCGAATGGCAAGGGCGGCGGCACTCTCTTCGGGGTCTCCGGCCGCGGCCGGCGAGCCCCGAAGACTTTCGGGGCGGGTCCCAGCGAGGGCGAGACGACGAGTCTTGGGGGCCCACAAGTAAGCTCTCCTCATGTGCACGCGCGCAGCTCTTCTCTCATCCTCTGCCGAAGTCCCCCCCCGTTTGGACGCCCTGCTTCCGGCGTGCCTGGCCTCCATCTGCCCGCGCTCGTAGTTGTCAGCGTGGGTGGCGAGGGCGAACTCCCCCCTCTCGCAGAGAACGACGACTCCGTTGATGACGTCGATGAAGCGGGCGCCGTCGGGGGTGGCGGCCGTCAGCTTCTGCGCCGCGTGGATGTCATTCCGCCGGATGCATCTCGAAATCGCCCGCAGCGCGTTGAGCCTGCCACCCATGGAACGAACGTCCTTTGATGAGATCGGAGGGCGTTGAATTTCATCTCGCACTTGCCGCGCCGCCTCCGTCGCGAAATCCTTCATGCGTCGCCATTGATAGACTGCAGGACATCGCTAAAGTTGGGCTGCCTCAGTTCATTGTCCAAGAATTTGCCCGCGGCGAGGGTCTCGAAATACCTGTTCTGGGATACTTGTCGGTTGATCGCTTCAGACACGGTCACGCAATGACAATGAGATCGGCGCGTGGTCGCTGAGTCCGGAGTCGGAGAAGGCTGCGGCACCGACGCCCGCCTCTGAAATACCTCCACATCGAGAAGATAGTTAGAGGGTATGCCAATGGATGTTATACCCTGCGATGCTGCTGCGGCGGTGTCTCTGCAGTTGTGAGTGAGGGAGTCCGTCGTCATTGCCGCAACCATTGAGAAGAAACGTTCCCAGTAGCTCTGGAGCGGCCGCGAACCCCGACTGCGCGCGTCAGGGGCGGCACCAGGAACAACTACCTCATTGACAGGGTCGACGTGCCTGCGAGTCGGCCCAGACTTTACTTTGAAACCTCCAACTGCTATAAAAGCCCTCCGCGTAGGAATCTGTAGGTTGCATTGCACCATTCCCCGCCATTTCGTCTGGATCTCGTTTCGCAAGCCCGGGTCAATCTGGAAGTTATGGATGTTCATCAGCTTCATTGCGAAGTTGCCTTGCTCATTGGAAATGGCGAATAGCACCGCTCTCCCAGCGCCGAGGATCCGATGATGACATTGGACACGAGGGCCCCCTTGATCCCGAAAGTCTACTTGCACCGGGAACGCTGTGCCACCCGCTTTCTGAGACAGATGCTTGTAAAAGATATTGTACGGACACGGGTCTGTGGCGACGGCGGTAGCCAGCTCATCCAGCGCCCCGCGGCATTCTTGTAGCAGGCTCACAGCTCGTCTGCGCGCGAATGAAGCGAGTTTGTTGAGGTTGGCCCTCCTGCGGTGAGGCTTGTAGCAAAGTAAGCAACGAGCATTGCAAGAAACAAGAATACCAGTTCGACGCGCACATTCAGATGACCACGGTGGCCATGTACCACGTAGATGTATCCACGCAAGAGAGCGCCTGTCCAAAAGCTGCCACCAGCGGTTGCTTGTCGATCTGGAAGCGCGCAAGGATGATCGAATCCCATCGCAACCTGGATGGGTCCTCAGGCCCGTGGACTTCGACCATGACCAGCGGGGCTGCATCGATGGTGATGATGCCCTAGGCTCTCTGAGCCCCAACTCGGTGTCCAAAATGCGCATCCTGGATAATGCGCTGGAGTCGTTTATTTTGCAATTCCAATCGTACTTGCTTCGGGCCCTTGTCGGGGCTGACGTAAACTGGGGTGTTGACCCCCCCGCGTCGATACCACTGAACGTTCTGAACCCACCGGCTGGGGCTGCAGCTCCTCTTTGCACTTGTAGATGGAACCGTCGTTGTGGAACATCCTCATGAAGTACGAGCTGCTCACTAGGATTGACAGAAGCTACAAAATTCCGATAAAGCTGCCTTGAAGGCAGCGGGAGCCAAGGCTCTTGTGGCTTCGATGCTGAAAACCGCTGGGTGAGGCGCTCTATCCCACCCTGCCATCCGCTGCACATGAAAGGCGACTGACGCTTCTGCCATTACCAACGTCTGCTCCATAGCTTGAGTTTACAGCCGCATGCGTTATGGATCCGCCTCGACCTTGTCTGCTCTGGAGTGAAGTTCATGGATACGTTTGTCATGCAACTCAAGGTACGCCGCATTCGGTTTGCTGGCTGCCAAGAATTCGCGCACCTGTGCGTTGACGGCCTGTTGGTGCTGAACACTGAGCGAGTTTGCCGTAGCCGTGAGCTGAGCCGTCGCTTGAGCGAACTGTCTTGGCCCATCGCCGCCAACCTTTGTTCCAAGTCTGATGTATCAGCACGAGGAGGAGGGGAAGCAGCATCTCTGGGAGCAGGTCGACCACCAATCGGCGTGGTTCTCCCAGCAGTACCCGCACCATCGTCAGGAAATGTTGGAAACAAAGCTCCAGCTCTCGAGCCACTTGTTGCTTAGCTCGTGGAGAAAGAAAAACAGGGTCGGGTCCAGGATGTCTAGCTGGCCCTCCACTAGCCCCAGCGTGTCGTTGAGGTGTGGACGCAGCTGCCGCAATTTGCCACGGGTCTCTTTCGCTGAATGTGTGTCCGTGCGAGCAACCGAAGGTCCAGATGTTCGGGTAGCAGTTCGCTGAAGTTCTTGTCTGTCAATGTACATATCTCCTTCACGTCTTATTTCGTCCTGATCCGCATGCCTGCCTTTGTCTTTGCGATCACGGTGCCAGTGTCTTTGCCTTCTGTTCGAGCCACTTATTTCTCCACCACTCCTGCTCTTGGAATGACTCGCGTCTTGCCTCCTACGATCACGAAGGCGAGAATGAGGTCGGCGAGATACGTTTGACGATCGGGACATGCTGCTGTCGGTGGCTGCCATGGATTGCGAATCCTGCCTCCAGGAAGGCGTTCCAATCATGAACCAACGAGCCGTGTCAGAGTTGAGGATGGTGGATGGACGAACAGGAGCGGGGCAAGGGAAAGGTATAGGATCTGCCTCAACACGATCAGGAAGACCACGGGGCGAATGCCAGCAATGCACCTCGCGATACTGGACTGGGAATATGGAGTGCCCCTGCACGGGCGGGATATGGAAGGTGATGGAAAGACTTTTGATGACTGTGGGAGCCTACCCCGCTGAGGCAGTGAAGAGGACACCATCTTGGCCTTGAGCCGAAATGGTTACGGAAGGAGGAGGAGGAGGAGGAGGAGGAGGAGGAGGAGGAGGAGGAGGACGACGACGACCATAGAGGACGATGGCCCCCGCTCTGGGCGAATCCCCGCTACCAGGACGTGCCCAACGGGCCTCTGGACGGAGAGCACAAGGACGTGCGTGTGCCTGCCAGGGCCTGAACTCATGGCCCGGATGCGACCCAAGGGGTCGAAACCTGCCCTTTCGAGAGGGGGCACGCTCCCGGGGCCTTGACTCCATCTGCCGGATGCTGTAGTAAGGCCGGGAGATCACCACCCAGCCGCCAGGGACGGCGAAGGCGGGGTCCCTCATGAAGAAGAGGTTCCTCAGCAGCACCCCCTGCTCCTCGTGCATCCTCCTTCTCCTTCCTGTCTGCTCCAAATCCCTCATGAATCGTCCCCCAGGTCCGGTTTTTTGCGGCGCTTTTTTTGTAAGGGGGGGTACGGTTTATTAGGGCGTTTTGTTTGGATTGGTGCCGAGGGGGTCCGGTTTATAAGGCGCTCCGTCGAAGAGGGTCGCCTTTGGAGGGGGGGTCCGCTCTTTTAGGGGAGGCTCGATGGATAAGGGATTTGGAGTATCCCTCCTCTCCCTCCTCTTTCCCATCTCCTTCCTCCTCCTCCCCAAAGATCCGACGTCGTGATTTTTTTCAATGCGGGGTCCCTGGACATCTCGACCCCTTCCCCAGGACCAGTCTTTCATCCCGAGTCGTTCCTTGACGGTCCTGGGACTCGGCGAGGGCCCCTGGAAGCCGAAAGCTGCGCACAAGACCTCCGTCTTGATTTCTTCAATACGTTGGATCTCTGGGTCCTCCTCCTCCTTCGCCACGTCTTCCTCAGCTACAGGCAGGAGTGACCCTGGGTAAGAGTGACCTTTGGTGCGCGGCTCTTTCGGGGCCACGGGGGACCAAACAAACAAACGTGCAAGACGCAACTTTCGCATCGCGTTCGGCGATCGAGGGGTCCTAATGGGCCCGCACCAAAGGTCACTCCGGCGACTTGCCGTCGCTCGGAGGTCCATTTCCCGTGCATGGTTCGGCTTCGTGCGCGCCTATTGTGCTCGATGGTCCAGGATGGTCCTCGATGGTCCGCGCCGAGGAACAAAAGTGCACACGTCCCAGCGATGCCAAGGCGAAGGGCCACTCCTGCGTCCGTCCTCCGCCCTCTCCCGCCTCGTGCCCTGCCGCCGGGCGGGGGCCTCGACGGGCCGCCCCCTCGATCGGCGGGGCGGGCGGTCCCTTGCCGGCCCGACTCCCGGCTCGACTCCCGCCAGCAGGGTGCGCAGGATTGAGCTCCCGTCGGGCCTGTCCCTCCACGGGAGGAATCTTCGAAAATAGTCAACGAATAGTCTGGGGACTATTTTTGATTATTTTGTTGGCTATGTCGGGGTATTTTTGTTCGTATCTTTAACTATTCGCCCGAACTCCGCCTGTAGGGGGACAGGCCCGACCTTAGGTTAAGTGTTCCCCCCTCATCCCATCGTCTTCCGATCGGCCGGGCGCGCTGCGGACTGCTCAGTGGGGCGCGCTGCGGGCTGCTCCGAAAACACAGGCCCCTTTGCTTCAACCGACAGCGGCCGCTGTTGTCCAGGCGGCCTTCTGTCTCAAATGGACACCGTCCACACCGACAGCGCGTCCTGCCCAGGACGAGCACGAACTGCTGTCGGTCTCTGTACCCATTCTTTCCCTACCCACTTCGATCGTCCCGAATGCCCCCCCCCGCCTCTCACAGCTCGAGCTGCCCGCTGCCCCAAAATCTCCGATCGCGGGGGATCTCCAGCGCCCATCACGCGGGGACTCCACTAACGGGCACTTTGGCCAGTGACCCAGCGAACCCAACCCTTCCCGCTGTGGGCAACGCTGCAATGCCAGAAAGAGACCCCAGAGCGGCACAACTTTCGGCAAAATCTCAAAGCACCCGTTAGCAAGTACCCGTCACGGTGCCGTTGATGAAGGGGCCCAAGGACACACAAATGAATACACACAAATAAAATAATTTCCAATATTTTCTCATATTTTCTAGGTTTTTGTCTTCCCCCCCATTTCCTATATTTTCCCACATTTTCTGGGGAATCGAGGATTAATTGTGTCTGTGTGTTTCTTTTCCTCCTGAGTTGAGATCTGGGGTCGATCGGCGGACCGGCGGCCTGTGGTCGCACTGGGGGCCCGCGGGCTTGCCCGAGGGGGCCGCATGAGCGGCGGCACGTCGAAGTCCAGCGTGCGCCGCCCGTGCCCCGTGGTGAGGTGCTCGACGTTGAGGTTGGCGAGGCCTTGGGATCCGAACTGCCCCCATACGAGGTCGTTTTGTCTGAATCGGCGATCGCCCGGGTTATCGGACGGGGGGGGGGGGAGGGGGCCGGCCGATCACCCAACCTTCGCGCTGCGGGCAGCCCTGCATATGCCCGCGCCCACCCACCCTGGACCTGCATAACCGGCAAGGTTCCGTTGTCCTGGGGGGGGGGAGGGGGGGCAAGCCCGATAATCCAGGTTATCGCCGCACCCTAAAAAAACAGTCTCTACGCAACACGCAATACGTAGCGTATTGATACGGAGCGCAGCAAGTACCCCGAAAACGTAGGCATGCGCGATACGTTCGCCCAAACGTGGGCCAAGCCAATACGTTGAGTCAACACGCAACGCATCGACACAGACGTTTTGAGCACGGCACGTGTTGCGTATCAAAACGCGCGTATCGAGGCAGCCAAGCTTGGGATGGTTACTCATGGGCGGAGCCTCGCAGGCTGGGCCCCCGGGCCGCGACCACCCCCGGATGGGGGGGCGCTCGTTCACGGCTGCCCCGCGCGGGACGTGTCCGCGCGTCCGCGCCTCCGCGGGATCGCGCCCCGGAATGCAAGACCGCGAGGGCGCCCTGGAAAAAGAAGGCGTCGAAAATTTACATGTTTATGCCATTGTTTCTTCTTCGAGACGATCCTCCCTATCATCGCCCTTCCGCAGGACGCACTGGCGGCCAGAACGCGCTCCCTTGCCGGCCGGAGATGTACCCGTGCCCCCCCCTCCCCTCCCTGCGGTGTACAGATCAGCCCGGCTACGACGCAGGACGAACTGACTACCTACCAGACCACCCCAACCTGACCCGAAGGCCCGGCTTTCGGGTGGGGGGGGCACGGGCTCCCAACGTGTTGTCTTCAGTGTTCCCCGCCCCCCCCCACCTGGAAATGGAGGGCAAGTTGGAGCCTTCGGTGGGGCTGGGGCGGCCTGGTGGGTGGTGAGGATGTGTGCGCCGCCCGCGAAAAGCGCTGCTCTGTCTGCTGGCGCCTAGGCTGTTCGGCCCCCGGCCAGCCACAGCGGGGAGAGAGAGAACGCGGCAGCCGTAAGCAGAACAAAAACGACAAACGGCAGTACGAATCGGAACCGAACAGAAAACGGCACGAGCGAAAATCCCCAAACGGAGCAACAAAACTTGACCCACAGCTTGTTTAAACAGAAAGAGTTGATCTGAAAAAAAACAAAAAAATCGCCTACCAGCGTTTTTTTTACATCATCTATGGGCGACGCCGTGCATGTTGACGAACTCCTCGCCCCACACCGCCTCGAACAGCTCCCTCTTGGCCCAATCGCCACGGATGGCGATGTCGTTCAGCAGATCGCGCACGTGCAGCACGGTGGCACCCCTGCACCGGAGCAGGAGCAGCGAGAGGAAAGGAAGCGAGGCGGTACCCTCCTCCCTCCCCTGGCCCCGCCACAACCCCAGGGAGCGGCGGAGCAGAGGAAGGCGAGTGGGGAGAGTAGGCCTTGCAATCTGGGATTTGGGACCTGCTGCGCAACATGTCGCTGAAAACGCGGTGCTGATCCTTTAGCTCGACGCGGTTGAAACACTCGTCGACCTTCATGGTGTCCAGCGTCCATGGAATGACGGCGTCGACCTCAAGGCCGGGCTCGTGAACCTGGAGGCCCACATGTGTGTGTGATTTCCAGATCGCACAGCACTTCCGACGCATTGGTGATGCAAGGCTGAAGCCAACTGGGCATCCGAGGTCAGGGGCGCCAGCAATGCGTCGGCGACACTGTGCGATGCGGGAATTCAATCCATGAGACGCGCAAGGACATACCAGCACGTTGTGTGCACCTTGGAGTTCTGCGACCAACCCGAACACAAAGTACAACCTTTTGCAGTACATAGTTACTCGAGCGGTATGGCCAGAAAGCGCCCGCCATGGAGATTATGAGATCAGATGTTTCTACGCACGCGTCGCCCCAAGGGGGGCGACGCACACATAGTATTAGCATGTTGGGGAGACGCCGAATCCATGCATCCCAGCTCTGTATAAGGGGGCCCAAGGCACCAGCACGAGGTCCAGGTTCGCCCACTCGCTCTGCACTCGACACACGGAGCAGGCGTTCTCAGGCGTCTCGTCCGAGGGGAAGAGCTCTGCGATCATGCAGCGCACAGAGCCTCCCCCCAGCCGCTCCATGATTGGCACCTCGGCCGTGACGACATGGTCAACGCAACCCTTGATGGTTGCCCGCTGCGCATCGTCGAGGGCTCCCCAGCCGGCAGTGGAGATGGCAAGCACAGTGCCTTTCTCACCCTGCAGCTGGATGCAATTGCAGGCAAAACTTTCCATTTGCTCGAGGGAGACCTGGATGAGAAGCTTTCCCGTCTTGCGCAAACTATCCAGGACAAGCTTCTTCTCTGCCTCGTCTGTAATCACGTCCGCGCAGATCACTGCGAAATTGTCCCCAACAGACATGAGCACATTGGTGTGATAGATTTCGCTGCCGCTGCGATCATGCGACGAGAAGGCAATAAGCTCGTACCCCATTTCCTTGCAGACTCGACACATTTGTCTGGGGAGGTACTTCCCCTGCCCTCACCATCCTCCTCCCCCTCCTGGAAGGGGAAGGGGGAAGGCAAGAGAAAAGCTGGACGGGGGAGCGGGAGAAAGGGGGGAGATGCAGAGATGGGGAGGAGGACTGTGGAAGACGAGCAAACCCAGGACGCATCAACGAGGCTGCAAGACATCCTCCCGCTCCAAGCCCCCTCCTTGTATGTCACCATGAGCTCTCCTTCCACTGCAAGAAGCGCTCCGTCGAAAGGCGAGTATACAATGGGCCCGTCATTGGGTCCCTGGTTTGAAAAAGGAGCTGTCGTGCATCCGCAGAGCGAGCTATGAAGGAATGCGGAACGGTAGGCCCCTCCACTCAACAGCGGAATGTCCAGCGTGAACGTAAGAATGGAAAAAGACTCGTCCCGCATCCGAGTACCAGCCTCCTCCAAAACAGCGCTGGCACTAGGAGCTCTCATGAGGGTTATCAAGCCATTCGTATCGAGGGCGGCCAAGAGGGGGGCGTCGAAGAGGGGGGAGCGCAAATCATGGCTGGCGGCACGTGCGCGGCCCAGGGACGTAATGGAATAATAGGAGGCGCCATGAAATCTGGGAGAAGATCATGGCCCACGCCATGATATCCCCCCCCCTAGTCGTCACCCCCCTCTTTGCCGCCCCCGGATTGTAGGGTGCCGAGTTTTCGCCTGGTGCCCAGTTGACGGCCGCGCGTGAGCACCTCCGGGGCGCCTCTTGCTGGGAGAGCGTGCCGACAGCCTCGCCTGACGCTCGCTCGGAAGAGCGCCTCGTGCGCTGGGCGAGTGCACTGCTGCTTCGCCGGCGATCGCAGACGAAGAGGGCGGGTACCGAGGGTTTGGGATGTACGTGCTAAAATGGCACGCGAGCAGACAGGAGCGAGCAGTCTGAAAGCGAGTGTTGTTGTTTTTTCTGTTGTGGTCGTGGTTGTAACATGGTTGTGGCTGTTGTGGTTGTGGCTGTTGTTGTTGTTGAACATTATTAATTCTAAAGAATAATTATTGTTGGGGCCCCTGGTGCACGGCCCCCCTGCGCCGCCTAGGCCGCAGCTACATTTTCATCATTTTCGTGAGGAAGCCTCAGGTAATACGATGTCATCAAGATCCGGTTGTTTTGTTGTAATCCGTTTTCCCTTGCAAAAAACACTATAAAATGACATTTCTTGTTCTAATATAATCAAATTTCAAGAATCCCTTGCAAAAAATAAGGTAAAGTGGACATTCGCGCGCGCAAGACGAAATCCTTCCAAAAGCTTAGTGTTCGGAGCGATTTTAACATAAAAACATCAAAAAACCAATGGTTTTTCAACAAAAAAATGTCAAAATCTCATCCCGCGCGCTCTTGCGGATTCGTAGGAAACCCAACACTTTTTAAACATTTCTGTCAAACGGGCTTTTGCGAGCAACTTTTTCGAACTTCTGCGACAACGGTTGCGCACCTGCCAGGGCCATCATCCCTGTCAAATAATACCATGCGGGACACATTCGTTTTTTCTTCGCGCGCGCACGCCGTCGTCGTCGGCCGCGGGGCCCTGAATAGTAGCCACGGTCGTCCGCATGCCACGAAGTGAAGTGTCCGAACGTCATAGGGCGGGAAGCTGGGTGTGGGTGGTGGCGAAGAGTCGTTTGGAAATTTGGTAGAGCTTGAACCTGCCCCCCCACAAAGTGGGGGTATTGCCCGCCTCCTATGAATACCCTGGCACTGGTGAGAACGGAGTGTCCCCACGTGCTAGTGATTGTTGTTGTTGTTGTTGGCATTGTTGTTGTTGTTATTGTTGCTGTTTGTTGTTGTTCCTGTCGATGTTGTGGTTGTGGTTGTGGCCGTTGTGGTCGTGGTCGTGGTCGTGGTTGTGGTTGTGGTTGCTGCTGTTGCTGCTGTTGTCGTTGGCGGTGCCCGCCCGCGACCGCCCATGGGCACCCCGTGCGCGCCTCGCTGGCGCCTCGTGCGCTCGGTGGGCGTGCCGGCGTTGCGCCATGGTGCCCGCGGGTGGCCGCCCGCGGGCGCCTCGCGGCCGACTGGCGGGTGCGGCCGCACGGCCTGCTCCACACCGCTCGAGCCGCACAGCCCGCACCGCGCGGAGTTCGCCGCCGAGCTCTGTGCCACCTGGCTTCTGCACCCCGTGGCTGGCACCACACAGACTCTGCGGCATGGCTGGCACCATGCTGCCTTAAAACAGGGCTGGGATCGGGATGAATCGCTCCGGAGCGTTCCTGAGCGCTCTCAGAGCGTTCCGGAACGCTCTGGAGCGGCCGCGGCGCCCAACACATCCTCCAAACCCGCCGATTCTCAGAGATTTCGAGTTATCCCGATCCGATGTTGTCCCGATCTTCGCGTCGTTTTATGCCGGCTTCACGTAGCTTGCACCACAAAACATGTACCGCACAACTTACACCAAACATGTTGCACCATGTAGCTTGCACGGGACAACTGCCCCCTGCAGGTTTGAATGACTCTGCCCAGCTTGCACCTCGCTGCCGTAACTTGCATCACAAAGCTTGCCCCACATAGCTCGAACCAACACGTGCAGGCACGGCCTTAACATTCACAAGCTTACACCTCTGACCATTCGGCTGAGAGGGATCTCGAGCGAGGGCCCCCGTCTTGAAAACGATCCACCATCCACCCATGCAGCGGTTACATGCTGTCACGCTTGTCGGTGAAGTTGGGTAAAAACTTAGGAAACGGCGCCTCATTCTGAAATGGAGCCGGTACCCGTCCTTCGAATTGCTACAAGCTATGAAGACGCACGTGTGCGGCGTGATGGCGACAGCCGCATGTAAACAAGTTTCATCATTCCAGCCTTGCAGCTGTTGTACACGTGCTATGCGAATGTGCGCGGCGCTAAGGGGAGAGCCCCAATGTGAAAAGGAATCGCCCTCCATCATTGTAACAGTTGGGAATTCCGATCGTCACGATCCTAAGTGGTGAAGAAAAATCAAGCGAAACGCCATGACCGCCATACCGACACGTCCGATGATGCGACAAGGGAAGTTATACCATATAAAAGGGCAAGGGGGTTATGCAGAGGGTTGAGGTGGGGGTCAAGTACATGCCTACCCGTGCTTCGGGATCTCGCTTGCCCCATCCGAATCAGTACTTGTCCAAACTTTGCCCCTGCACAAATCCATGCTCACAACTATCTCGAGTCCAAGCCATGGTGACGATGGAGCCCTTTCTTGAGCAGGGGCCGGCCGTCCTGGCATTCCTACAGGCCTACAGCAACCAATGTTCTAAAATCCAAGACGCTGTTCTTAGAACACAAAGCAGGTGGCATAAACGAAGACGGTCTCACAGAAGGATACTCTAAGAATACTGCGTGCAAACCACAAGAGGTTCTTAGATCATTCGTTGGTGGGCCGATCTGTAAGCTAAGACGCTTCGCCACTGCTTGACCTTGAGGGCTCAAGACAATGTGCCCGTTCAAGTAGTGGTTGAAAACCTGTACCTTGCAGCTTCAGTCGGGGGTGTCTGCTTGGAAGCCCGAAAGCCTCCAGAGGTCTCCAGAGGCCTTCTACAGAGAAGCAGGAGAAATCACAAGCATAAGCTTTCGGAGCTCCGCACGGATTTCCTGGGATCGGCGCTGGACCCCCCTTCCTGGCGCGCGGGGCGCGCCAGGGGCGGGGCCGGAGGCGCCGCCAAGGGGGTGAGGGGGGGGCAGCGCCGATCCCAGGAGATCCGCGCGGAGCCTGGACAGTTCGTGCTCATGCCGGTGCTCCTTCTTCGACGGAGGCCCTATCAGAGGTCCCTGCAGTCACCGCCCCCTTGCAAGGCCGTGAACGGCGACAGCAAACCGAAACCCGAAACCGACCGAAATAGACAGGGCCGAAAGTAGCCTAGAAGAGCGCAAGCGACACTGCAACGACACCATAGCCGACCGAGCCGAACCGACCAAACCCAACCGACTGCGACGCACTCGCACCGACCGAACCATGAACACCCTTGCCTTGAAATCTGAAAGTTGACGCGAACTCCCGCTGCAAACATCCCACGACAACTGGACCGTCAACATCCTAAGACCGGCTCGTCAAACACACGTCGGCACGCCCGAGTTCTGGCGAGCTAGAGCCGCACGGTTCTCCGCACTGCGCCCCTCGCATGGCCGTCCACGGCGACAGCAACGCCGAAAAGCGACCGAGCCGACAACGAAACCGAAACCGACAGAAATCGCAAGGCCGAAAGCAGCCGAGGAGGGCGCAGGCGACACGGCGACGACACCACAACCGACCGACCCGAACCGACCGAGCGCAACTGACTGCGACGCGCCCTTGCCTCGGACACCTCTGGGAAGGCCCGTCCGTCCCCCCGCGTGGGGCTCGAGGAGGGCCTGGATCCCCGGCCAATATGCTCCGCTGCCCCATCCTTCCTGCAGCCGAGGCTGAGCGGACAGGACACGCGAGAGGACACAAGACCTCTCCGAGGGCCACCTTGCCGTAGGAGTGCAGAAGGCATGGGTTGCCACACACAGAACACACACAAGGGTACTCGTCGTTCAATTCTAATCGTGCCGATTTCTAAGTATGTGCGTTTCTAATTGTTCCTGACCCCCTAGTGGCCAGGAAGAGGCCCAGGATAGAACGATTAGAAACGACAGGATCTTGCCCCCAAACAAATTCAAGGAATGTTCGAAGAATTAGACATGAACCATGTGTACTACTTGACCTCGACTCTACCAGGGGGATGCTCTCCGAGAGCCGCCTGACCTCCTAGAGTAGCAAAACAACACTGCACAGAAGCATATAGACTTGCGGCGCTCCGCGCGGACCTCTCGGATCGGCGCTGGGCCCAGCAGCTGGGCGCTGGATGCTGCTGGGTGCTGCCGCAGATCTCAGGCTCCCTGGAAGCCCGTGAAGGCCTGCAGGGACCGGCGCCCGCCCCGCGTGGAGGCATCCACGTCCAGCTGCACAACCGCCCACGGAGGCCACCAACCTCCTGATCCTCCTGGTTCTCCTCGTCGATCTCCTCCGTCTCGTTCGTCTCCCCCTTCGTGCTCATCCTCCCCCCCCCTTCTCCTCCTCCTGCTCCGCCTCCTCCTCCTCCCCCTCCCCTTCTCCTCGTCAACTGAATCCTCGAATCGTCTGGAATCGAGATTTGTTTGCGGTTCGCTTTCCTTTTGGACACCTGGGGCCCTCCAGGAGGCCTCCTGAAGCATCGAGGTGCGTCCCTGGATATGAGCCGCAGCTTGCTTGAATTAACGATCTGGCCCCGAGAACCACCGCGAACAAAAGGAAGGCCTGGGTCACGGAAGCGACGGATCTCGATGTGCTGCCAAAAACTGCCATAGCCCCTGGGACTCCCCTGTCCGCGCGGTGACTCGCTGCGGGCCAGGTCGCCAGGATGGGGTCCACCCAGCACACGGTGGCGCGCATCGGCATGCCAAGAACCGTCCTGGACCAAATATAGAATATTTTCGCTGGGGTCCTGACTGCCAGATGACGAGTGGTAAAACAATGGGGAGGGACAGATAATGCAATAGTGCTTGACGCTTGTTGTCAAAGTTAGGAGTTACGTAGCTTAAAACCTTTGATTGAGTTCGGATTAAATCTGATTGGAAGTCTAGTGGCACCCTACTGACTTTCCACTGGGATCGTGGAAAGCATTTGGAACCCTGGGATCAGACGGGAATCGGATCAGAGTCCAATTGAACTTCGATTGTGAGTCCCATTCGTCCCCTGGTTCGGCTCCTGGCATTCTATATCCGCATGAGCTCCCAGTGAAATTCGGATTACCCAACGACGTGGTTTCTTATGCAGGTCTCAACCAGCATCAATTACAGCCCCTGCAACACCGCCCACGTAGCTCTTGTCACAACATCACCCGCCACAGCGTAACCTGGACTTAAAAACTCTGGCTGCATCTTCTACGACATCAATTGGTACAGATCAACCGCTGCGCGTAATGTTACAATTGCCACTCAAATCCGATGCACATTTCTACGACCGTTATATCTGAAAGAGCGTGTTCTACCGCTGCTGGCGGAAAACCGGGGGGGGTCACTACCGGTTCGAACACTACCTCCCCCCCCCCCCCCCCCCTCCGGAAAACCGAGGGGGAACCCCTCCCCCCCCCCCCCCCTGCTCATCATGAAAAGGGGGGGGGGGTCACTACCGGTTCGAACCCCTCCCCCCCCCCCCCCCCCTCCGGATCCGGAAAACCGGGGGGGGTCACTACCGGTTCGAACCCCCCCTCCCTCGAAAACCGAGTGGGGGTGCGGACAGTGGTGGGGACGGTGTTGGTGGGGACAGTGGTGAGGGGATAGCGGGACAGTGGTGGGGACAGTGGGACAGTGGGACAGTGGTGGGGACGGTAGTGGTGGGGACAGTGGTGGGGACAATGGTGGGAACAGGGGGGGACAGTGGACAGTGGTGGTGACGGTGGTGGTGGGGACAGTGGTGTGGGGACAATGGGAATGAGGTGGAAACAGTGGGACAGTGGAGGGTACAATGGTGGTGGGGACAGTGGTGAAGGCGGTGGCGAGGACGGCGGTGGGACAATGGGACAGAGTGGTGGGGACAGTGGGGACAGTGGTGGGAACAGTGGGACAGCTCAGTGGGACAGCGGAGGAGTCAGTGGGACAGTGGGGACAGTGGGGATAGTCGGGCAGTGGTTGGGGCCGTGGAGACAGTGGGGAGAGTGGAACCGTGGTGGGAACAGTTCTGGGGACAGCGGGGACAGTGCGACAGTGGTGGGGCCACTGGTGGGGACAGTAGGGGCGGTGGTGGAACCAGTGGGGACAGCGGTGGTGAGGACAGTGGTGCTGGGAACACCAGTGGGGGATGTGATGCGGACGGTGGTGGGGACCGGGAGTCGTTTGCTGGCGGTGAGGGGCCCCCCCCCGGTTTTCCGATCCGGGGGGGGGGGGGGGGGGGGAGGGGTTCGAACCGGTAGTGACCCCCCCCGGTTCTCGAGCGGGAGGGTGGGGGGGGGGGGGGGGGGGGAGGGGTTTTAGGGAGGGGGGGGTTTTGCTGGGGGAGGGGGGGGGGGGGGGGGAGGGGTTCCAGCAGGGGGGGGGGGGGGATTTTCGGGGGGGGGGGGCGACCCCCGGGTTCCGGAGGAAAAGGTAGGCAATTTTCCGCAGTAAAGCGGCGGTGGATCACGCTCTCTCTTATATCTTCAACTGCACCTCCTTTTCGCCCATCTCTCCTTTCACAGCTCATGCATCTACATATCTTACCCATTCGTGGTTATATTACATCCCGCTGCCGTTGATCCTTCACCTTTTTCATGTATCCCCCTCCTCTTAACCACCCGCTTCGGCTCCGTCTGGCCCGTCGGCCGTCTGGGCGCGCGCCGAGGAGGGTCGGGGGGTGTGAGGGCACGGTGAGGGGGACCATCAAAAAATAGCTTCCCGGCTGGGGTCCGGCCGGTTTTTCTAACCATCATCTTGGGCGCCACTGCGTGAATTCGCCCTCTGGTAATATCATAATCGCTATCCCGCATCATCGCCATCATGGAAGACGTGCCCCATTCTGGATCACAGCAGCGTCAGGACCGATCGGGCCCCTGCGTGTACCACATTCTCCTCCTTCTCCTCCTCCTCCTTCGTCGCGGCTTTCTCGTGGGCTCACCCTCCCCAACTGCGGTGGACAGTTCCCTCAGGCGTGAACTGCACTGTGTGCCCAGGCTTGACCTTGCCTCCACTGGCTTCTGAATTCGAGTCTCCTCCCCCTCCTCCTCCACCTCCTCCTCGCTCCTCCTCGCTCCTCCTCCTCCTCCTCCTCCTCCTCCTCCTCCTCCTCCTCCTCCTCCTCCCTCCTCCTCCTCCTCCTCCTCCTCCTCCCTCCTCCTCCTCCTCCTCCTCCCTCCTCCTCCTCCTCCTCCTCCCTCCCCTCCTCCTCCTCCTCCTCCTCCTCCTCCTCCCCCTCCTCCTCCTCCTCCTCCTCCTCCTCCCTCCTTCTCCCTCCCCCCTCTGCCGGTCCTTGGCCCACAGCTCCCCCAGGTTCCCGTCCGCGCGCGCCGACCGGGCCAGGTAGGCGACGCGCCCCGGGCGGTCCAGGACGAGGCTGCCCGTCCCCTCCAGCGCGACGCCCGACCGGGACCAGCCCGAGAGGTCCAGGGTGGGCCTGGTTTCGGAGGCAAGGAGGAGGGAGAGGAGGGAGAGGAGGAGGAGGAGGAGGAGGAGGAGGAGGAGGACGACGACGAGGACGAGGATGGAGGAGGGGGATCCAGAGTGATAGCGCGATGCCATGAGATCCTGGCGCTGCAATTTCTCCACCACGGGCGGTTTCGCCCGGCTTCCGGCCCCAGGGCCCTCAGACCGATCCGGCTCGAAAACGGAGGGAGACACCCTGGGGGTCCGGGGCTCCAGTCGGCGGTGGCCAAACCTCCCTTTCGTAAACCTCCCGTCAGTGAAAACGGCCTAGGACCGAAACCGACGGGCCTGGACCCGCAAAAAGGACGGCCGCGACGCCCTCTCGCGAACCGAAAACGACCGATTCGCTAATCGACGTGTCAGGGTAGGAGGCCTATCAAGCTCCGAGAGCACTTTCTTCGGGTGGAGGGCTCAGGGTGAAATCCATACAGGCTTTTGCACCTCGAGAACATCAATCCGTCTTGTGCTTCACCTTTTTTGCAGATGCAAGCCTCGAGAATCCATCGAAACGGCGTTCCAGATTTCACCTCACCCTTTGCCCTCCACCCAAAGAGAATGCTCGGAACTACTGGAAGGTTTTCGTCGGTAGTGCTAAGGGGGATTAAGCCCCATTGGGGGGCTTTTACGCCGGATTCGGCCACGGATGAAACGGGATTTAGCCAGACTCGCTGGAAGGAAAAAGGCAGATTGAGCGAGCCCCATTGGCCCACAAGGGGGCTGTTACACCAGATTGGGCCGCGGATTAAGCGGGATTGAGCCGGCTTAAACGGGATTAGCTTAAACGGGATTAAGCCGGATTAAACCGGATTTCGGACCACTGCAAAGTCAGAATCTGACCTCCCAGGAGTTGCATCCGAGCCTGTTGTAGCCCAGGTCCACGCGGAGGCTGTCCATCAGGTCCTGCCGGACCTCCTCGGCCGGGAGGCCGCGCGCGAGCCCTATCGTCGACCCTATATCCTAAAGATGCACGATGAGGATGCAAGGGTCAGGTCGGGCAGGTCCTCCCACAGGCGGATCTTGGACAGCACGGAACATCGAACCATTCTCAAACCTGCCATGGTCAAAGCCACATCGTCCCCAGACAATTCGTTTTGGCTATGTTTGAGCACTCCTCCTGTAGAGGGACACGCCTGACTTCATGCCAGGACCTTGGAGGGCCGCTTCGAGGCTGTTCGAGCAGGGCGCGGCCAAAGAGAAAGTGGCCCAGGGAGGGACCGAAGAGGGAAGGATGCAATGGGGTACCCTTGGGAAGGTTGCCCATCCTTACTGTGCGGTTTGTGCCCCGCCAGCACACGAGTTCTGATGGGGGGGTACAGTGTAGGGTTCGCATGTGGCCTCCCAGCGGTGCCAGCGAGATGGGCACACGACCCCCCCCCCCGCACTTCTGGAGTCCCGCCCGTGGTCTCTCGGGAGCGGCGGGACACGGCCCGCATCAAGAAAGGGCGAGTCCCGCCCGAAGTCTCCCGGGAGACGTGGGACGCAGCCCGTGTCAAGGAGAGGCGGTGGCTCTTTGCGGCAGGGTGAGAGGGCCGAATCCTCGAGACAGCATGCTCCACAAGCCTCGACACACCCTGATCACTGGACGCAAGAGAGTTTCTGGCCGCGACCGACGAAATCGGTCGCTACCAACTTCGCTTCCGATTCCTGCATCGGTCGCGATCGAGTCGCGACCGAACAAAATCTAGTATCCACGGATCTGGGTCGAGACAGCATGAGGCACAGCCTTCGACCCACAACGTTAGACATAGCGATATGTGCAGCTCCTCCTCGTCCTCCCGCACCTTCGGGCCTCGACGAGAAGCGCTCGCTCCGCCGCCGCCCAGTGCCACGACCGAAAAACAATTATGCAGTAGTAGCTCGACCACAAGAAACCTTCCACAAGAAACCCAACCCTGAGATCCCAGAACGTCCATTGATTTGTGGTGTTGGAACGCAGCGCTGGCCGTAGCAAAACCATCGAAACCCAGGAAACCCACTGCACCCTGGAGGCATGCAGGGTGTCTCTTGGTCTGTGCTTCCACTGTATCTAATGATCTGGGGAGGAGGAGAGGAGCGTCGTTTGGCCGATGCCTACCCCCGCCAGCGAGGCCCGGGCCCCCCCTGGCCGGTGGACCCCCCTCCATGGGGACGCAGGCTGCTCCTCCCGGGCTTCGAGGGGCACAGCCCCGACCTGGGGCGGTGGGATGGTGGGGATCGAGAGTGGGGGTGGGGCTGGGCATCGGTGCCAAGATGTTGTTGGGTCGGGCATGTGTCCCCCTACAGGCAGCTGTTCGACAAAAATAATCAATAGCTATCAACAAAAATAACCCCTAAATGGTCCCCAGACTATTTTTGACTATCTTCGAATATTCCTTCTGTAGAGGGACAGGCCCGACTCCAAGATATTGAGAAAGGGGGTCGTGGCTGCCCGACGGCGAGGGCAGGTCTGCGCCGGATCGGATCGCGAAATCGGATCGCATCGAGAGCGGATCGAATCGCCAACGCATCGTCCCGCATCGGATCGGCATCGAATCGCCGCGCCCAGCTTCCGGCTGGCCCTTGCCGATGCCGGCGAATCTAGAGCCGGATCGCAGCGACTTGGAATCGCGGCCCCGGCCGGCGAATATCGAGTCGCATCAACTCGGATCGTAGGCGGCCCTGGGGTTAGGTCGGGCGTATCCCACTACAGGCGGATTTTGGATGACAAATTGAAGATACCCCCCAAATACCCCCGAATGGCTACAAATAGTCAAAGAATCGTCCCCTGATTATTTTTTGACTATTTTGAAATATTCCTCCTGTGGAGGGACAGGCCCGACCTAACCCTGGGACAGAGCACGGCAGCACAGGGGTCCTCCGAAGAAGCGGCTGCGCCGAGCGCGCCGCTCGCCGAGGTCCGGGGAGGGGGGCGGGAGGGCGAGGAGGAGCTGCATTTTTCAGAGGAGAGGCACGCCCACGACACCGCTTCGGTCGCGCCACGTCCACCTCCTCCTCCTCCTACTCCTCCTACTCCTCCTCCTCCTCCTCCTCCTCCTCCTCCTCCTCAAAATCATCCTTCTCCTGTTCCTTCTCCTCTTCTTCCTCCTCCTCCTCCTTCTCCTCCTCCTCCTCCTTCTCCTCATCCTCCTGCGCGCAAGAGGAAGGGAAGGGGAAACAAATGAAACGGAGGGAGGAGAAGGGAGGAGCCGGGGGGAAGGGCGAAGCAGGGAGGACAAGGCCAAGGCAAGACGGATCGACCTCAACACGTCGCCAACTGCGCTGGACATGCTGCTTGCTGCGCAGTGCACTGGGCGGTCTGGGGCTATCGAGGCAAACATGCGAGGCGGGGATTTATACATATCCACCGCCTGGGAACCGACGCCCCGGTGCCCCAGCGGGCAGTGGACATGGATAGATTTCGGCCCCGCGGCGCCCGAATATGTCCACATCCGCCGCCTGCCGAGGCTCCGAAAACTGACCCTCCAGGCGGTGGTCATGCACAAATCCCCACCTCGGAAAACAGCCCTCTGCTCGCAGGGGTGCGCGAGCCAACAAGCGCTCTGGCACCTCGGGCGGCCCACTCCCGCGCCGCTCGGCAGACCAGGGGGCCTCCGTGCACTCAGACACGCATGCAGCTTGCAATACTGAAGGGGCCCTGGGACACACAAATGAATAGACACACGCGACAGGATTCCCAATATTTTCCCACATGTTCAGGGTTTTTGTCTTCCGCTCCACTTCCCATATTTTCCGATCTTTTCGGGGGAATCGTCGATTAATGGTGTCTGTGTGTGTGTTTTCCCTCCTGCCATACTGCTGCCCTTCCCACAGCCGCGACCCTCGCCGCCCCCGCGTGGAGCAAGAGACGCTCCCCAGGTGGGAAAGGGAGCGAAGCGACAACTTGTTCGGACAAAAGTGCCACCAGGGACACAGTTTCCCCCAAAGCGGTCGCCCCGATTCATGACCGCAGCCTCCAGAGGGAAGGACGGTCCCGAGCCAACCAAGAGGAAGGCTGATCTCTGAACTATGCGCAGGCGCTGGCCGGGATACCCTGGGTCTCGGCCCAGGGACCGAACAGGTCTTCCTCATGTTGGCGATGAGAAGCAGCGGACCTTACGAGAAACGACACAACGAACTTACGCTACGGCTTACGTGGGCCGCTAGCGCCGCACGCTAGATGGGAAACGAGGGCGCTTACTTGCGACATTGCGCGGGTACCTTGCGCGCGAAAGCCTGGGCAGTCGAACCCGTGAACTGGCGTTGCTCGTCTGGGGTCTGACGAAGTTCCGCGCGCTCGTTGGCGAGGGTGCCTGCGCCAACAAAGCTTAAGCGAAGCCCTGCGGTTGGAGGGGAGGAGGAGGAGGAGGAGGAGGAGGAGGAGGAGGCTTGCTGGTGGTCGGTCCTTCTGCCTGGAGGGGACCTTCATGGGATAGAGGACCAGCCTGCCCTCGCTGTGGGTTGAGAACCAGTTGTTCGGGAAGACCTCGTCTGGCAAGCCCTGCCCGTCGACCTTCATCACCTTCACGCCCACCGCCTCCAGCTGCTTCACGAGTGACCTCCATTCCTCCATGACGGCGTCAGCGATGTCATTGTCGCCGTCTCCAACCTCCGACATGAATTTGTTGTCCTCCTTTGTCTCCTCGTTGCTGCGGAACCCGCGCGGGTCGACCATGAGCACATGCCGCGTCAGCTGACTGCCCTTCAGCGGGGACGCGACCGTCGAGCATGGCCTCATTGCGTACCAGTGCCTGGCCCATGCCTCCTCCTCCTCTTCCGCGTTCTCCTTCTCCTCCTCCTCCTCCTCCTCCTCATCATCATCATCATCATCGTCATCATCACCATGATCACGATCAAAATGATCATCGTCATCAGCATCATCATCATCATCAATATCATCATCATCGTCGTCATCATCGTCATCAGCATCATCATCTTCACCCCTTGCTATTCCTACCGCCTCCTCCTCCTCCTCCTCCATCTCCTCAGCCTCCTCCTCCTCCTCATCATCATCATCAACATCATCATTATCCCCCTCTCCCTCCTCCTCCTCCTCCTCCTGGTCCTCGTCCTCCTCCTCCTGCCCTCCTCCTCCTCCTCCTTCTCCTCCTCCTCCTCGTTTTCCTCCTCCTCCTCCTCTCAAACCCATCGTCATCCTCCTCCTTGTTATCATCCTCATCCCCCTCCTCCTCGCTCTAAGCACACATGTGTGTAGCGGCCGTTGCCGCAACGCCCGAAGCATGCCCGAGGGTTGACCTCTCC